AATCACCCAGGCTCTCAGATGCTGTCAGATAAAGATGAATGGCAAAAACTGTCCATGAATGAGTTCTGTTCGATCACTGTGTGAATATGTGTGAAAGCGCCTTAAGTGGTAGGAAGACTAGAAAGACGCTATACAAAAGTACCATTTACCATAACTGTTATTTCTTCACATTCTGTTGTTATTTTTTGGTAAATGGACCTGTACTTGTATAGCGCCTTTCTAGTCTTCCGACCACTCAAAGCACTTTTACACTACGTGCCACATTCACCCTTTCACACACATTCACTCAGTGATGGCAAAGTCCATCGAACAGAAACTAACATTCATACACACTCACACACCATTAATTTATTACTAATGTCAAGGTGTCCGCAGCCAGCTGATGCCAGTAACAGTAGTGTATTAACTGCCCATTTTGTTGTTTTGTATTTTGTGTTGATCTCATCTCTTTCATCTTCGTTTTTGCTTGTTAATGTTGCAAGAAATTGTAAAGGCTTTGACTGTAGCTGCATTGCTATGGTTATTCATTTTAGTCCTCGTCCTCCTCCTCCACTTTTCTATAGTTGTTGGAAAAACAAACTGGAAGAGGTACAATCCTCAAAAACGAGTGGCTCCCAAACACAAAGCCACACACTGACATGTTCATTACATGGCATTAGTCACTCATTATTATTCATGTCATTTCTAATGCTCCAGAATCACCTTTGCTGTATGTCTCTGAAAATCTGAGCAAGCAATAATGTCTTATGTGCAGACTTCAATAATGTCGAGGCAGACAACCACCCACCTAGAGCCGAAGGGTCTGTCCTAGGTTTCTTAAAAGGCAGTTTTTCCTTGCCCCCGTCGCCAAGTGCTTGCTCATGGTGGTACTGTTGGGTCTCTGTAAATAATGTTATAAGGAGTCCGGTCTAGACCTGCTCTATTTGAAAAGTGTCCTGAGATAACTTCTGTTATGAATTGGCGCTATTCAAATAAAATTGAATTGAATTGAATTGCATTGAATATCTTAATAGCAAGTAATTTAGTCTCGTATTTATATTTCAGTACAAAGAAAGAGATCGCCCAAATAGTATAGTCTCAAATACCAAGCTTCACCAAGCATGACACAGCCAAACATACTGACAATGAACTATCAGTTGACTTTGACTTAAAAGACAAACCAGGCTTATATATCCTAGGATTGTCTATCACACGGGCGGCTGTGGCTCAGAGGCAGAGCAGGTCGTGCCACATGTCGAAGTATCCTTGAGCAAGATACTGAACCCCGAATTGCTAGTGTGTATGAATGTTAGTTTCTGTTCGATGGACTTTGCCATCACTGAGTGAATGTGTGTGAAAGGGTGAATGTGGCACGTAGTGTAAAAGCGCTTTGAGTGGTCGGAAGACTAGAAAGGCGCTATACAAGTACAGGTCCATTTACCATTACCATTTACACAAACGTCTCACATTGCAGTGCAATTTTATTCTCACTGGAACAAGCTGTCTCAATTTTAAATACATATTTAAAAAAAAAAAAAACCAATTTTTGCAATTTTCACTTTTTTCCACAATTTCATCACAAAAAAAATACACAAGAATATTGCAATATGCATCCAGTTTTTAAAAAAGCTGCCATAAAATCAATCACTCTAGACCACAACAATCACCCCAAAAAGGCCAGCAAAATCCTGGAGGGATGGTTCAGTGTTTTGTCCTGTATGTGTTTCGTCCACCGTATGAGCTGGATCAAGATGCTGACTAAAACATTTTCGAACATTGCCTGGAAAAGTCTTTCTAATTTACTTAACATTATTTAACATTCTTTCATATTTCAGTGGATCAATCAAGTGGCAACTTCTGTGGCTGGCAAAACAAGCCAAAGAGAAAGTACAGAAACAGCAGTTCCTCTAACAGTAATTTTCCTGTTCATGACGACTGTATGTGGGTTAAGTTTTATATAATCCACTCATTTAAATTAAATATATTAACTACATTCAAGTCTTTAAGTTATGCATTACTGAGAGAATGGCCCTTTTGAGTGAAAGGTGGCTGTCATCCCAGGCGGCTGTTTTCAGTAGCCACTTTTGGATTAGCCAGGAGCCAGCCGAATTAGGACTGCCAGGATGGCAGCAGCCAGAAAATGTTTTTAAGCATAACATTGTTTTTGATATTTTCAAGTATTTTTCCTTCCTTGCAGACAGTGTTTTCTGTTGCAGTCCACTTTCAAAACAATTTGCAGGGACTTGAAACCACAGTGAGTAGCTCACCACAGTAGTGATAAACTGATTAACTGGTCAGCCAATTTATCAGGATGATTATCTGGCTAATAAACAAAAAATGTCTTTAGACACATCTGCAGGCAGTCTTGTCAGTGTGGCTGCTGTGGAATGATGTTAGCGCTCCACTTTGTGAGTTTTGGGAAGGTGGTGAAAAAGTTTGTTTCGAGCCCTCTAGTATAACTCTCATATATCCTGCTGTAAACATATGCATGCATTTCCTATAGACTAGAATAGAATTACTTATGAGTTTTCTTTGTTTTGATATCGGCATTATAAATGGTCCATCTGCAGCCCTGCTCTGTAATTATCGGCATTGGCATCAGCCATTGAAAAACGGTCAACCACTACACCACAGTGAACATCATCAGTTATGTGATAAAGTAGTCCAGTTTACTATCATGTCTGTTTGTGCAAAGGCTCACATATGCATGCCAACATCGTATTAATAATAATAGTGTGTGTGTGTGTGTGTGTGTGTGTGTGTGTGTGTGTGTGTGCGTGTGTGCATGTGTGTGGCCTATCAGAGAGGAAGCATCGGCAAGTCAAGTGTGTAACAGCACGCAATTCTGTTTCTATTTCATAATAGTTTGGCACTGAGCCCACTCCCAGCTACACAAACACACCCACATACACACACCCACACCCACACACACACACACACACACTTTCAGGCAGGGAGATCCCAGTATTTTTGGCTATGAGCCAGGCTGGAATACCACCAGGTCCAGTTTCCTGCATTTACTGAGCTGCTGCCAAAACTACACGCAACAGATCCTCTCTCTCTCTTTCTTTCTCTCTCTGTCTCTCTGCCTCAGGTCTTTTTGTTGTCTACACTCAGCACCTTTTTTCTTTCACAGCCAGGAATTTTTTTTTCTGTTTTACAATCTCATCCCTTTAGATTCTGCTGTATCTTTTCTTCCGCTGGGTCAATAAAAGCTAAAATAAGTTTTACTAGCTGCCTGTCTTTGCACTAAATGTTTGGGTCAGGCTTATTTTTCAAATTCCATTTAAGAATGAAAAATGCAATACAAGTGTTATTGAAATTCAATTTTTAGTTAATACATACAGTTTATATATATTTGTGTTTTGCCAGCATTGACTCCAGTGTTGTTCTTTAGGTCTACAGAAGGGATTTAGATGCTACTGTAGACATTGGCTGGTCCCCCTACTTTCAGATCAGATTAAAACATCTTCACCTCAGTAGGACTTTTTTTATATTTAGCCCACATCTTGTTCCTATTTCCAAAGATGCATTTACTGCTTTCAAATGTGGTTTTGTTTTGCAGCTTTGAGCATGCTTAGTATGCTGGCTCCACTCTGTCTGCCCAGCAGCATTATGCATCCTTTTATTGTCCCATGACCATTACACTGAATGATTACATACAAATGACCCCCACAATAACTGCACATCCTGAGGAATCTTTGAAGTGTATAGCCTGATTTGCAGTGAGCATTCATGACCACAGCAAACATGGTGTAATGAAAATAAAATAATTCAGCAAAAAGTAAAGGCTTTATGATGACAATAACACCCGTATAGATTTTAAATCCATCTGCTGAAGCTTTTGCGTTGTTCATAAGGATTCATAAAGCAACCCCTCAAATGACTATGAAGCAGATACACATAACATAACAATAATGACAAGAAAAATGTAAAATACACTGAATCAAACAACAGAATTGTAAGGCGAGCATTCTCTCCAGAGGCTAATCTCACCATCCTCCACACTCCTCTCTGAATTGAAGCTATTGGTTTCAGCTCCTATTTAAATTGCATTTCCATGCATTGAGTAGCTTTAATGTGCAACGCTAATGCAGTCACTAATGTACACATCACATTTAGGGAAGTCTGTAAATGATCCATCATAAATAAAAGATGACATGGAGCATCCACAATGAATCAGAGAGTATAGATCTGCCCATCGCAGGCTGGAAATATACAAACTGTATATCAATCAAATAATTAACCACCAAAAAAACAATGGAGCTGTTTAGTGTTCAATACAATGAAATATTTACATATCAATGACATTTAATGACATTACCAATAAAGGAACCTTAATAAAGGGTTCATGATGGCTTTATTCATGGTTAACAAACATGTATCACTATATATGCACGGATATTGCAATATAAAATTACCATGTTCCATGATAGGAAAAAACATAAAACTCTTTAAATAATCCTGCCTATCATCATGTATCTGTCAAAAATATTTTTTAAATGGCAACTTAAAAGTTATGCTTATTAATTAACTGATCTATAAAACATGAGTAAATTACTTATTATCCATTAATAAAGCTAGTTACATCGTATATCCCTTTATAAATGATGCCATGTTAAAGCCTCATTCTAACTTGTCTAGTAGAAACTGATTTTTTACTTTTTACAGCAGCAACTTCATTAAATCCCCTCTGGCACAAAAGACAAAAGACTAACCTTTGTGAACAGGATCTTCATAAACGTGTTTTTTCCTTCAGAATGTGCAAATCATCGATATCAAGTGATGTTATCAAGCATGTATTATGATCGTAGATGGCACAAAAGGAAAATGTTTTCAATGACATTAAAGAAGATATTTAGTTTTGTAGGACTACTAATAGCTAACTGAACTACTGTTAAGTTAAATTAAGTCTTTAAAGTTAATTATATTCAGGGATGAAAATAGCTTGATTGTATTATGGAGCCCAGAAAGTTGCTTTGCAGAGTTGGGAATTGTTCAGTAAGTCAGTGTTGTCTTACCTGTTTGAACTGCTCCTCGTAGGTCCACTCATGGTGCTGGGACTGGGGATGCGACGATGGAGACTGTGTGCGGCAGGCCGGGTCGAAGGCCGCCGGGACTCTGGCCATGAGATGCATCGGGGCGCTCTGCGGAAGCATGCAGGCACCCTGGAATGAAGACTGTCGGTGTTGGTAGTGGCTCAATCTGATATCGTCTTCGTCCTCTTCTTCATTCATCTCATGCTCATGCATAACATCTCCCTCCTCGCCCCGCTCCTTATCGTTGCTGCCCGGTCCGTCCTCGTCGGCTCTCCGGACCTCCGTGTGTGGGAGCGTCACTCCAGAGGACGAGTTGGAAACTCCGGCGGCCAGTGCGCCTCGCATCGCTGCCTGGTAGTGGCGGAAAGCAAGAGCTTGTTGGTGTATCTGGGACTCCACCATGGAGCGGAGGTCTTTTTCTGTCTCCGCCTGCCGGAGCTTCTCCTCCAGGGCTAGCCGCGCTGCCTGTTGCCGCTGCAGGTTCTCCATGACCGCCTCGAGCTTCATGCCGCCGCTGCCGGGTTGGTGGGACTGGGCGCCGGGGAACGGGCTGTGCGAAGAGGCGGAGGGAGCCTGGAGCGGAAGGCTGCTGGCAGACGAGAGAGAGCCTTGCTGCGAGGGTACGAGAGGATGGTCGTGGCAATGATTATCACCGGCACTTTATAAGATTAAAACACAAGCTCTACCAATTACACTCATAACACACACTAAGACAGTTTTGGTCTCTGACTTTTAGAGTCAACCCATAAAGACGATAACTTGTTAAACATTTCACATTAAGCTCCTGTAAGCGAACATGAAAAACGTGCACCAAGTTGCTAAAATACTGTTGCACTATTCAAATAGGCCTACTGAGTTTATAAATGCACCTTAAAAGTAAGATAAACTGTAAATTAGTTAGCCTACGTTTAATAATCCAAAATAAATAAAGCCCGGACGCTTACCAAAGCAGATTTAGTTGCTATACTTGTGTTATCAACCATGCTTCTCTCCGTCAGATGCGCCGAAATATCAACCGGATCAAAAGTCTTCTTTCAGTCCTGGCAACGTTCCGCATTCAGATATGTAGGTGTCGGTAGCTGCTGAATAAATAGTCCTTGAAATGTGTTTGGTGTTGAACAGTGGGACCCCGAGCTGCTCTTGGCAACAAGTGGCAACTATAGTGAGAATGACCTCTGGAGGCAGAGATCAGCCCCCCTGCCCTTGCAAACAACGTGTCAATACTGACAAATACAGTATGAAGGCCAACAGGGAGACACTCAACCGTCTGCCTACAGTAGACTCTACAAGCTGCTCATACAATGCAATTAAGTTGATGAGACTTCACTCCGAGTTAGGTTATATTGCTTATTATTAAAAAATGAATGTTCTTCAATAATTACATAATTTTTCTTTGCATTGTTTGAATGTAGTTGCCATAAACCATTTTTTTATTTACTTATTTGCCTCTGTAAAGCTACACCATAATTAGATAATAGGCAGGATTATTGATAGAGTTGTATCTATTTTCCCATCATGGTATATAAACAACCTTTTTGTTTATTTTTATTTATATGAGATTTTTATATTCGTATATCATTTTTTATTTCATTGCTTTTCTGTTTCTGTGTATTCTTATGAAGTTTAAACTGAACTGTTGATATACAAGAGTGCTCAGGGTGCAGACTGATTCCTTTGATTTACTGTATTACCATCTCTTTTTCCTTATTGGTGGAGAAGCACTCTATCATTAACAAACCCTGTGACAGCCATTATCTGACTTCCTACAAATCAAGGTACTTTATCACATTAATTGTAAAAATCATATAAAAATCGAATATTGCCATGAAGCAGTGAATTGATTATATTGATACACCCAGAGATATTAACAGGAGAGATATAAAAAGCTATATAAAACTTTATAGAAAAAAAGTTGTATTGTCATATAGGTAATCCCTACTGGGGCCTTTCACAGGTGTGTTTTCCACTTGTATGTTCGTTAGGACTATCTTAACCACAGAGGGCACAGAAACGTGACCCATTGCATCTCATGTATGCTTACACAAGGAGAGAAAAAGGACACCTGTCCTCCACTGATAGTTACCCAGCCACTGTTGCTGGCAGCTCTTTAACACAGAGGTGTCACCTACTACAACCACCTTTACTGCTGACATGTCCATCCTAAACCATCTAATACAGTGGCTGTCCAGCTGCTCTGCTTCTTAAAATGAGAGGCAGGTATTGTCACAATAAAAACTAAAATAGATTTAGAAAAAAAAGGTGTATGGCCATTCTAAATTTTTCTCACACAATAGATATTTAAGCTTCATTAAATGTTGGCGGCATGTGGCCTTTTTAAAATTTTTAATTCAACCTAGTTAGGAATTTCCCTCCTTCTCCCCCTCTCTTTTTCTTTCCCTTTCCATCTTTTTCAAACTGTCAGTCATGTTGTCCCCGTAGTAAATCAGAATCAGAATCAGGTTTATTGCCAAGTAAGTTTACACATATGAGGAATTTGCCTTGGTGCATTGGTGCATAGGAATCACAATCGAGCTAAAAAAATATAAATAAAGATAAAAAGATAGAATATGTACAAAATAGCTGGATAATTAAATAAATGCATAGCCTAAAGAGCTATACAGAAATTAAAATAAAAATTGACTGAGAAGTCTGCAAGTTAGCAGTGTGACATATAATGCTAAAAGTAAAAGTGGAACAAGTGGAGCTGCTTTGCATCAAATTAGGAGTTTTTCAAAGTTTTCCTGCAGTTGGGGACTTGTTCGACTGTGCAAACACAACCTCCCTCTTTAGTTCGTCCAACCATCTTCTTGAAAAGGTTGGAGTTGTGATCTTTGCACATATCAGAAAAGTGCTCATATCCAAGTCTTGAATAAGGTTTTAAAGAAAGCGTTTTTCTCCTGTATACATCTATGTGAATTTAAAGAATGCTCCTACAACCCAAATAATATCGGCATATCCTATATCTTTATCATTACAGACATAGACCCTTTCTCAGTTTGGAAGGCATATTGTCCCGTCAACTTTTGCAGGTGCATACTAGTACCTTATGGATCAGCTATGACCCTTTGAGAGTGCATCACCAGCAGTTGTACCGAACATAAATGGACCTCAGCCTACCCTGTTTTCTGTCAGTGAAAAGCAAAGAAGTTACAGTTAAGCTAAATCATATATTCACTTAACAAAATGCTATCTTAAGTGAAGAGCTATTACACTATGTACATGTCTGCACTGCAGTGTAGACATCATTTCTTTGAACCCTGCAATTTACCAAAGTCACCCTACAATTAAGGCTTACTTGTGATGTCAGATATATAATTTGGCGGAACTAATTATCAACTAGGGTCAGCACTGGTTTGATAATCTAGTCGAAACAACAACAACAAAAACAACAGAAACCCTCTTAAGAAGAGAGAAGAATTGCTTCTTCTGGGATCCGAAAGCCATTTGAGCTTCATTTTAAACATACAGTAGTTTTACCTGTATGTATCTGTCAGTTAGTTCTCTTCTTTGAGTATATAAACAAATATTTGTCTTTCAGTTCTTTACTTCAGTTAGTTCTGTACTCTTTCAGTCTCAGAAAAAACCCTCCATTATTAGTACAAAATTAAATGTGATATTTTCCAATCTGTATGTGCCTCAAGTAAAGTTAACTAAAATAACATCAACTAGATGTTGGTGTGATTCACTACCTCTAGGTATGACTTGTAGAGAGAGGTTTGGAGGAGGGGCTGCCGTCTCAGCCAGTTGCTAAGTTTATAAGTTTACCTCCTTGGTGGAGGAAATAATAATGAAGCCCTCAGCCATAAGCAAAACTTTTTGATTTTTTCAATTCTGATTTGGGCCACTTTCCTATGTCATATTCCAAATCAAATTCAGGTCAGATTTTTGCAGTGTAACTAACGTCAGTCTAAATCAGTCAGTCATATCAGAATTCATGTGACTACTTAAGTTGGTTTAGGGCAGGAATGGTTTATAAAGTTAATTTCTTTATAAACATATTACTTTAAAGTTTCTAGTAGCTGTAGACTGTAAGCAGGACTGAAGGCTTAAGAGGGCTGACAGTCTGCTGTAGAACAGCGCTGCTTAGTGGCACATCAGAAGACTCCCAAGCTGTCACTACAGATTTACGTACTGCCTGCTGGGTGTAACACACATACACAGACCTAAAGGTGAGACCCAAATTAGTTTTTTGTATCTTTCCCTTTGCTCTCTGTCCCTCTTTTCCTCACTTTCTATTTAACACTTTGACTATTCAAGTGCAGTCCAGTTACCATTTACTTTATTACAGTTCTGGTGAAGGATTTAAGGTGAAGGAGTCCTGTACTGTTCTTTTTGAAGCAGGCATGTTCTCCAATTTCCATTTTCTGCTTTGATTTGAATAAAAGAGAGTAAATCCTATAATGTAAAGAGCCAGTGTGTAACATTTAGGAGGATCTATTGGTAGAAATGGAATATAATATTGATAAGTATGTTTTCATTAGTGTATAATCAAATAAATAAAGAAAATAAGAATAGCTATATTTCTGTACTCTTAGAATGAGCCGTTTTTATTTACAGATGTCTTCTTTTTCAACTTCCACTGTGTCCTCCATGTTTCTACAGTAACCTAGAAGGGACAAACCAAACACTTTCACTAGACAGTTAGTGTGTTTTGTGGCCACCATGGTTTCTTCTTCACACTTGGAAGGGGAGTGTGAAGAAAGGGAGTTGCTATCTGCAATTACACCACTAGATCCCACTAAATCCGACACACTGGACCTTTAGGAAGGGGAGGACAGATATTGTTACCTTAGTAACAGATCCTTGTTCTATGGGCACCCATTTTGTGTTCACATCTACTCTTATACACAAGACCAAAAGTTGAGCTGCTCATTAGTAACACCTGAAGTTAGGCAAAAATAAGTCACCTTTCTCTTTGTGAGAACAGACAACACGAGTTTCACTCTGGGCCTTTTTATTTTGCCATATAAATTTGGAAACAAGCCTGTCCAGGAGTTTGAATTTAGATAATGGAACAGTTATAGGAAGGCAGCAAAAGAGTTAAACGGGATCAACTTGCTTGGTCCCTTAGAACCACTAATTAATGATGAGCTCTTGTTGCTCTTTTTAATTATCGTGAGACATTAATAAGCGCTTTATGATGCAACTTCATTTGTGTCTCACAGCTTAGTTTATTTTATTATTCATTGTGGCATGGTTTGTGTATGTATGGTTTATCTGCTTAAATGGCTATATTATGTCTGTTATAGCATTGGCTATATATGAAATATTGTCATATTGTCTATGCAGTGTTGTGTATTCTATTTTATTCTCTCAGTAGTTTTCAGACAGCTTTTTACTCACATGAACTTGTTCTTTCCTAATCTCCATGGCTATCCATGTTTCTAATCTCTTCATAAAGTTTGGAGCTGTTGGTGATTTGAGGAGTGGTGGCTCTTGAGACAAATTCTCAGCAGGATGAAAGGTTATTGACCGGTTATGCCTTGAGCCATGGGGAGGACTAACCCTCCATCCTGTCAATGATTAACCTCCAGGGATTGTCGACCAAATCGCCATGTGCAATCAATTGCTTGCAGCTGTCACACACTGACCATTTCCACTAATGATGACAAGCTAATTAGCAACTATTCCATAATTTATTTAGGCTTTTCTAATTCTAAGAAGTATAATGACTCTGTCCTGTGGTTCAAAAGGTATCATCCAGGATCCTGTTTTTCTTACCTGTCATTTTGCTATTGTTTTTACTCCTCTCTCCTTATTCCAGCAAACAGGACAGCTAAATTTGTCCAAGATTTACAACAAAAGTAATATTAGTATTTCAAATGAATCCTTCTGTCAGATATAGATGTAAATAGTAAACATTATAGATGACCACAGTTTATTTCCTATTGTGTAGTGACATCTTCTGGCCAAAAGGCATATAAGCCTACTGAAGCTGGCTACCAGGTCAGTGTGTCAATGGGTACGCATTGCAAATCTGTGGCCATGGATAGCAAAATCATGGGCATGGTTTACAAATCCATAGGCACAGATGGCCTGCTAAGAGTTTAAGTGGTTTACTAGTTTGTTAACAGGACTGAGTTTTCAGTTCAGTCAGACTGTACTGACACAAAACAGCTTCTTTTGCTTAAAAAACACAGATTCAGTGGTTTTAGCAATGTTTTTTTAACTGGATTGAGTTTTCAACAGAGTGAGACTGTTTTGGCACAAAACAGCTTTTTTCTTTTTTTTTTAAAGTGGTTTTATGTCTAGATTTTTAACTGGATAGAGTTTTCAATTCAGTCAGACAGTGATTTCACAAAAAAAGCTTATTTTGGTCAAAACA